ATAATTAATGTCTTATATTCTTTTCGTATTTCGTTTATCAAGATTACAATGAATCAATAATATAATAAAGAAATTCCTGGAAAAATGAAACATTTTGAAAGTTTGAATTCAACCCGTATAATTAGGACTGCGGCCTGAAAATTTATTCAACACATGAGATTTTCCGAACTATTTAATAAGGCTTAATAAGGAGTAAGGTATAACTTCATAAGATAAATAGCAAAACGTTATCGTGTCGATAATAACTACATTAATTAAGATTTTATTAGCAAGCAGTAGGCAACACAACATGCACACCTGCAGAGTGAAATGCCGAGACTTCGAACAAATGGAATAAACAGCAGTTTTGCTGTCAGATAATGAAATGAGATTGAATTATACTTGGTGCTTTGGTGTACAATTAGCGTTCTAGAAGTTATATTAAAAAAATGTCAGAAAGCTGATCTGTTCAACCGTTTCCATTTTGAATGAAAACTCAGTTGAATTTTGCACCTTGTGAGAAAAGTGTAAACCAAAACTTCTATGGCAACTAAACAAATTCTTACATAGTGTCTTCTAACAGGGACTTCTAAACTTTGACAATTGATAACAGCCATATTGTTGAAGTTACATCTGTCAAATTGGTTGTTATTTATTCAGTCTTTTTTGCCAAATTACCATGGACGGATATAGCATTCAACAACACGTGCAAACGATAAAATTGTTGTATCAAAATGGGTGCTCTGTTCGGGCAACGTACCGCGCGCTTCGCCCAATTGACAGTCGCCATAATAGTCCAACCGACAGGACTATTCGTAATGTGGTGGAAAAAATTGAGTCCACAGATTCAGTAAATGATCAATCAACACCCGTACGTCGACGAAGCGCAAGATCCGCCGAAAACATCGCCGCTGTCTGTGAGAGTGTGCAGAAGAATCCGAGCCAGTCGATTTTGCGTCGCTCACAAGAACTCGGTTTTTCGCAGACCACAACTTGGCGAATTTTGTGTCGTTACTTGGGTCTGCACCCATAGAAAACTCAACTGACCCAGGAACTGCAGGTGAACGACCATAGATAACGAAAAGAATTCGAAACCAATCCTTTACTTCCTCCGCAATGCACAATGATTAGTCGCGATCGTTTGTTTGCAGACATGTTGGGCGTACACATTCTCGAACCATCAGTCCACCGTGTCGTAACTGTGTCGTGAGTGCCATACCAACTTTCGTCTAAATAGAAAATTTGCCGTTGTTCTTATTTATATTTAGTTATTTGTTTTAAGTATTTGTTACGCACTTCCACTATTCTCCTGCTTTTCATAACTGCTTGACGTTTGTTTATTATTTTAAATCTAAATCCTAGTTTCTTTATCCAATTCTGAAGAGTTTTGTCACAGCAGCTCACGTTATGGCCGGAAGTATTCAATTTCTTTCTTAGGATTTCAGTTGTAGAAATCTCATTGCTTTTGTAACCGTCATAAATTGTTTTTTCAATGATTTTATTAGATGAACATCTACAGCTGTTTGATAAGCCTGTATCACATCGCGTCTTGCGTTCATAAGGTTTGTTTTTGACTGTTTTACGTACAGTTGAAAAAGGAGTTTCGGTCAAATCTGATGTTGCTTGTAATAGTTGGTTTCCCTCGAAACCAAACTTGAGATGTATATTCTTATATGCGTTGAAACATACTCTCTGTGTTTCAATATTCAAATACATCCGAATTTCATTCACTGGTATCTCTTTTTCGCATTGTTCACCATCGCTATTGGAATCACTACACAGGAAAAGGTCTGTGTTGTTATCACACTCGTTATTGCTATCAGTACTTGTCCAAGGACGCCATATTTTAAACAGATAACAAAAATTTCAAGTAATTATAACTGCACCAATATCGAATTTTAACACTCAATTCACGATCAGTGCCTGAACTGAACACGACGGCGATAACCATCCCCGCATTCCCCAATTTCTATTCGTCACTGTAACATGGCTTCAAATTTAATTTTATGACTTTTCAGCCAATCATAAAACTTGGTTAGTGAAAATTATCCAATACGAACCGCCAATTATGCAGTCCACGTAGACTATTTCTCAGCTGGTTCATTTGTATGTATTGATTTTTGTGGCCTTTGAGAGTGCCGCCAACTTAAAATGTTCAGAATATCAATTACTTCGACTATAACTGTCAACAGATGAACAACGAAATGCAGTTGCTTTTATTACCAAGTGCTGCTATCTTCATGTTGAGGTCGGAAACTTTCCAGACCACCCTCGTAATTCCACGACTCGTTCCTGCTAACCGCTGCCACTACCGCTATCTGCCGGCCGACCGCGCAAACACCCGACCGAGCTCCTGCGACTGAGCGACACGGTTCGCGAGTGTAGCGCCAAGTGCGAGCGCCACGGCAGTAAACATGGCGACATCATCGAGTGAACTGTTCGAACGGCTCGACAGACAGGGCATTCCGAAATCGAAAAGAAAACTCCAGAAACACCTACGTAGCGCTGGCCTGGCATACATTTCCCGGACGGGAAAACTCATCCCCGCCAAGACGGTGGCAAGTAAGTACGATACGATTTTCCAGTGTTTACATTTCGTGTGCCATATATAACGGAGAGAAGTGTGTCTAATTTGTGCCCGTATTTTCGATACGTCACGTCGCTGAATCATGCGATAAATTACGCCGTTTTACCACATTTTATCTACGAATATCACCTTGGAGGACGTGCGTCAGCTCCTACATCCCCTGGAGAACAAACCACTTCGGAATCCCAGGATGACGTCGTCGTAATCGAAAAATAAAAACAAAACTTTCGGCACCTTTTGCGACCTTCTGCATCTAGGTCATTCGATTTATTGGGAAGGAACTGATGGCCTTGTCGCTAGGGCACGTGTAACAATTTTTATAACAGGTTCGTAATTGCGGAATCATGGAAATTTTACGTTCGCGCACTTTGGTCTTTCGTTGAGCGTTCTTGAGAAATTCGGGCGTTACGCGATAAAGACGGGGGGATTTTCGTCTTCTATCCTATCGGGCCGTTGTTGTTTCTAAATTATTGCTGCTCGTAAACGGATACGTAATGCACTTCATTTGTTTGTGTTTGAAAACACTGCACAAGCATTTGGATGTTCGCGCCTCGCGATGGGATTTTTAAATCGATGTGACGTCACTGTTACCATTCACAAACTCCTGGATAATATGGGGGAATTCCTGCTATCGTGCGACAGACACGACTCGGCCTTCGAAATCCGGATTTTATTTCAACAATTTTTGCGTTTACTGAGGTGCTAATTCACTCCAATGGCTGTTCTGCACACCCCTACCGATAACACCCCATACAAAATTTCCAAGTTTTTTTTCACTCCTAACTGTAAGACCGAGCAAATCGAAGTTACTTTGGCCACAAACACCTGTTACTTAGATACCATTATTTGGCGAGGTTAGCTGGTGGATATATAAAACAAGGGTTTCCAGACAATAATCGTTAAGAAAATAAACAAAACATAAAAGTTTTTCTCTTAGGAAGATAACTTAAGCCAGATGCATGAACTCAAAGTTAGGAGATCCAGGACTAATAACATCTTAATGAGGAACTAGTGGTGATTTCAAATTGGGGTGAAAATAACCAGGTTTAGTTCAATGTCACGAAAACCCAGGCATTGGTTTTCTCCAAAAAGATAAACATCTCCGAGCCGGATATAATAATGTCAGGTCAGACAATTCCGCTTTCTGTTCTGATAAGTTTGTTGGGGGGTTAAAACGGACACCAATATGTCTTGGCACAATCATGTCGCTGGTATTGCAAAGACTATTTCTCAAAACCTTGGAACACTGTTCCGAACCAGAAAACTGTACAGACCTCATCAACTTTTGATACTTTATGAAGCTCAGATCAGACCTTATTTGGAGTAGCGCTCACATGTAAGGAGCTCCGCTCCTAAGTATACCCTGAAGTTGCTGGATTCCATCCAGAAAAAAGCCATCCGCCTGATTGGAGACACGAACATCACTGGCAACCTTGATAGTCTAGAACATCGAAGAAAGGTTGGACATTTGTCTCTCTTTTATAGATACTTTCACGGGAGGTGTTCAAGTAACTTGGCACATTTGTTTCTACCAAGAGCGGTACATATGAGAAATACACGACGAACTGTGGCTGTTCATCGTTTTGATGTTCAACTCAGTACACCTTGAACTTCACTACTTGAGAACTCTTCCATTTGGAGAACTGCGTTTAAGTGTAGTAAACTTCCTGAGAACGTATTTTCAAATTAATTCAATCTCCAGCGATTCAAATCCAGCGGGAATCGCTACTTTCGCATAGGCACCGCTCTTAGAGTGCATTGAAAATGATCCTGTAGTGCTTGTGTTCTGTCCCTAGAAAAAACCACAACCATTATATATTACATTCGTTTAAAGAAATATTTATGATATATTTGGAAAATAAGGTTTTGGCTTTCTACTTTTCTATCTTTACACAAAAAATAAATGTGGGATCTTCCAAAGAGAGGATAGAAGCCAGGGCCGTAGCGAAAAGAAAAACCAGGGGGGGAGGGAATCCAAATTTTCCCAACTTCACCAGCAAACTTTCGAAGAAATGAAAGCCAAGGGATTAATTACTACTATAATATACTAATTTTCTTAGTTAGGTATCCAAATATTGGCTGAATGCTTATGCCCGTATTACTACTATAATATATTAATTTTCTTAGTTAGGTATCCAAATATTGGCTGAATGCTTATGCCCGTTAGGATATGCACAAACAAAAATAAATTTTGGTAATTAAAAAAAAATAATGGGAATTATTCTACTGTAGACCAAGATCCTTGGTCTTTCACCATATCCACCATTTATAGGAATATTCAATACAAATGAAAGGAAACAACACTTAAATAACATTGTGCTTATTGTTTTCTACTATTATTTTTTCTATCTTCACGGCCCGAAATTTCCCAACTTTTCCAAGTCGGAAAAACAGCGAAAAGTTGAGAATTTTGTAAAATTGTCACTTCATCATTTGTGGACTGTTCAGGACTGTTCCCTTACTTGGGAGAAATTAAACTTTTTTGAAGATTTCAAATAACTCAGAATTCTCTTTACTATTATTTTTTTCTATCTTCATGGCCCAAAATTTTCCAACTTTTTCCCAAGTCGAAAAAGCAGGGGGGAGAGGCTCCCCCCATCCCCACCCATGGCGACAGCCCTAATGGGCCATGTGTAGATCAAGCAAAGAAGCAATTTTCAGACACAAACTGGAAGAAGAACCCTTTCGAAACAGCTACCTTCATACAAACAATTTTGAATTCTCAAGTTGGCAAGTTCAAGAAAAAAATATACCGTGACTGTAGAATTGCAACAATGCATGAGTTATTGACTTCATCACATCGTAATTTTCAAATGACGTTCAACTTTGAAATTTCACATTAAATGTAATTTTTGCTAAAAGAGTGCTTAGTGCAATAGCATAGAACTAATTTTTATAAGATTTTATATTTGTTGTTGCATTGAATTGATAGAAGCTTCTTTTGAAAGGTCATCCGTAACTAAATCGTCATCATCCGCGAAATCACTCAAAATCAAAGTAAAATAAATAAATGCATTTTGAACTATGTAATTATAATCTCTACCTACAGTAGCTTAAGTATAGTCTATTATTTTGTGGTCTTTGTTACATGAACAGTTTGAATGAAAAAAATGGGAAACAAATGAAGATAAAACTGGAATCGGAAAACATAAAAAGCATGATTAGAGGTTTATTTGAAAGAATTTTATTAAACAACAATTACTATAGTATATACGAAGTCGATTCGAACTGCATAAAAACTAAATAGTTACTGAACGTCGGCAGTTTCTTTGTATGGCATGGGCGGCGTGGTGAATTCATACGAGGTCTAATCATTATTTTAATGTGGGAGGTTTTATATGGTATTAACAAGTAAATTTATCAGACCCGGTACATTAGTCTTTCATTATTCGAACGGCATAAAAACTAAATAGTTACCGAACGTCGGCAGTTTCTTTGTATGGCATGGGCGGCGTGGTAAATCCATACGAGGTCTAATAATTATTTTACTGTGTGTGGTTTTATATGGTATTAACAAGTAAATTTATCAGACCCGGTACATTAGTCTTTCATTTAGGTGTTCGGATTGACTTCGTATAGACTATACTAAAAAAATTAATTTTTGATATCCAAACTCATAAACTTTTTTAAAATACTTATCAAATTAATACTATCAATAAACTTGTATGTGAACTTACTATTAGGAATACCACCTATTTCAAAATGAGAAAGTTAATCTTCAGATTAGTTAAGTTGATTCTCCAGTGGCCTAAGTAACCTAACCTCATTTTTGTCTGCCAATAACGGAAAATGATTGTTGGTTTTTCCTGTTCGTATAGAGAGAAAATATTCTTTATTATCTAAAGAACAAAAATTCTTATTGACGAAGCGTCTGTTTTGTTAATAGTTTAAAAAATTGATACATTACAAAACAGATATCATTCAGAAGCTATTGGAGGTTAAGATTATACCAAAGAAAAAAAGAAAAAGATTGGCGAATGGAAATAATGAATTCATTGAGAATGTAGCTCTATTTTATGAAGAATATAAACGTGAAATGACGGTTATTCAACTTCGGAAGATTCAGATGTTTTCGAATGTCTTCTGAATATCCCAATATGGCGACTAAAGTGAATTAGAAACGACGAGCTTTATTCAATAACTAATAGTACAAAATACAAATAGACAAATGAAGTGTTGAGAGTTAGGGAAACGTAAAAGAGGAAGATCCAAATACTTCGGAAAGCTAGTGAAATTAAAGTTAACTGGAGGTTAAAGGTAACCAGAGGAGAGGAGAGGGGAAGATTGACAATAATGAATTTAATAAATGATCAATCTAGGTGTATTTTATGAAAAAATATCAATGCAATTTGACGGTTAAACAACCAAACGTTAGATGTTACTAATACCTGACAGTTATAGGACTTTGGAAGACTCAGATGTTTTTCGAATTCCTTCTAGATATCCCAATAAGTGACCCTATCCCCCGAACAAACAAAATAAATCATAGAATTGAAAAAGAGAAGTATTTTTTACATTATCTTCAATATTTTTATTTGCTGTTTGAAAGCCGTTTGACTCAGCAACAGCTTCGTTGGCTTATTGCGCTTTTATTGCCATAACACCTAAAAAGGTAGGCTTACCGAAGATGCTTTTTCAACATGTAGATTTCTAATTTTGTTATTCCTTCAATGGACAGGAAACATTCCCTTTACTGTATTCTTCTTCAAATCTTCCTTTTTATGTACGACGAAACAAATATTGCTCTTGCGCTTGGAAAATCAAAGCCTCGGGTCCGTTCGTCAAATTTTCTCTTTTCTTTATGGTATTCATATAGATTCGTTCATTTTGTTTTCATTTTCAAAACTCGCACCTTCCATTTTGTAAATATTGCATTTTCAGCATCTAATTTTTCTTGAAAATGTGCAGAAGAATTAAGAGGTAGACTATTTAATTTGTGTAACTTTAACCCGACATGTTTCTTTGAGAATACATG